GAAACTTACTGTATTGATCGCAAGAGATCAATTTCCAGAGCCTGTTCTCTCGAAACTGGTGGGATACTGTTGACAGCTAACAAGTTATGAGTATCTCAACTGTTCAGGAATCCTTTAACTTTTGGAATGGCCTAGTTCACATAGCGAATTTTCATGTTAGCCAGCGTTTAGAGGCTGATGTACCTGGAATAAAAAATGACTTGCCCTTACATCCTACTTTGTTATCCTTTCCGGCTAAGCGCTAACTTGCAAAAGTGCCAATAAGCATAATTGGGTACAGCATCACTAGAGCTACTCCACGGCTCGCATACTTGTTTATCGCTTAGCATTACTTGGCAGAAATTCAGATGTAATTCTCGTTGAGTATGCTAATGCACAGCTCCTTCACCTATTTCTTCAACACTAAAAGTGAGCGAGTAAAACGGTTGCCTCTAATACGCCATGCATCCGTTTTATAATTGAAACTGTGAACGTATTTGAAATGGTATCAGCTTCAGGTAGCGAAGCGAGATGTCCTCAGTGCCCACCATCTCCTTTTATGAGGAAATCAGAGAAATGACTTTGAAGGTTGTGAGACTCAATTGAGTAGGGCCTTTGCCTGTCATCCTGCAGTCACCTGTCGTCCCGTTGATTATCGATTTGCTAGAGCGGGCGTCAGTTACGTCTCCATTCGCCCCTGTCGCGAACCTGAGCGGTCCAGTGGATCGCCTTCGCTCTAGGAACACGAGGCTGAGCATTCCTTGCGTCCAAAACTTCAGGAAAAATCTGTCCATTACACTGTCGGTCGCCCTGTATTCGTTTGAGGACACGTCAGGAACTGCCCAAGTTTACTGGTCACCACGATATCCTCAGCAATACGGGGGAATATTAATATTATATCGATATAGCCTATCAATAAATGTTAATGCATTTCATCTCCAACTTGGCCGTCTCTTGCTGAATTTGGATGCGAATTTTCCGCGCGCGACGAAGCGCTAACCTGCGTGGCGAGTGCGAAGGCCATACTATGAACAATTCTGCCGCGCAACTGTGGCATACACTGCATTTTTCGACATGTGCGACGCCGCGCCGTGACCTTATGGTACTTACGTTTTGATTCTAATCAAAATGATACAAATAATCACGGAACATTAAATTGATATCATAAAAACGAGCGCAATTACGTAACCACATTGTCTTCAGAGTATCTGGGCAATAACAGGAACTTCTAGGGTGATTGCTATAATGAAGGCAATTGCGTAACGTATAACGGTCATGCTTTAAGTGCAAAAGTGCGCGGCTGAGAAATGATTGCCGAAACTCACCTCATCGCCTCATAAGTACATGTAACTGATAAAAAACATTTTTCAGAATTCTCACTTTTTTAGTACAGAAAGCTGTTAAGANTGCGGTAAAAAGCTGTAGTAAAAAACATTGGAAGACTGTTCCGCCTGTGTAATACTCAGCTTATCGTGGTAAGCAAACTATTAAAACAGGCTCACAATAGAAAAAAAAACATCGACGTTCGATAAGAACGGCATTCCTCCGAATCTGTCCGGGTATCTGTAATGTGTAAATTCGCTACAGGACCAAATTAGGATCGATAGAACTCTAAACGAAAGACACCCAAACTCAGCGCCTAGCTTCTGTACTGTAAATATTACGTCCGCTTCAAGAAGCGTAATGGACCTGAAAACAAAGTAAACTCTGAAATCTCTTCTAATATGCTTTATTACATTCTGTATCTATCAGATCACTTTTTCGACTTCAAAAAGAATAGGATTCATACAATAAATTGGTCTTAGAAATCCTGTATATACGATGTAAGAAGAAACGACTAAACAATAAGATAAAAATTGGTTCAATGATGTGAGGCTTCATGCTAATTACTTCAAAGAACTCAAAACTTCAAAACTTCCGACCGGTTTTCACCTGGGCAAGAGGCTCAGACCGTCAGAGATATAGTATATGAGTTTATTTGAAAAATCTATTCTACACTTCCACTGGAATCGAAAAAGGAACGCGCTAGGCTGGAGCCCAAATGTACTCTGAAAGATTTTGGGAATGTTCTGAGTTCTTCATACATTCTGAAGCCTCACACTGTTTCAACACATACATAACCCTACTCACACGGTTACAATACCGGAAAATAAGTGTACGTCACTATTGCTCCGTAGCTGAGACCTGTTCTGATTTGGAATTTCTCATTAACTGCTGTTATTCCACCATCCTTGTGAGACCTGCTCTTTGAGAATTTACTATAACTTCACCTATGGCCTACAGCCTTAATCTTGCAGTCCACGAACCACTTGAATACGGTTTTATACTGGGACAAATAAGCTCGAAGGACCTTCATAAATTCCGAGAGAGACTAAAAGGCGAGATTATACACTATATACAGTGGACTGAAGTAGCCTAGAAGGTAGTCATACAATAAAGTAAACAATAAAGCTATGACACATCTGATTATTAACAGCACAACATTGACATCATTAGCTCTTTTTAAATCATACCTGCATTATGGTCCCCTGTTCCTATGAACACGTACAGATCATTTATGCGCTAATATCTCGCCTATTCAGGAATACAACTAAGTGGCACAAGCTGTTCTCATTTTTTCATCTTCGCTGCTTCTTGAATGGAATCGCGAAGAAAGTTCAACACTACACCATAGGCTGGACTGGTGCGCTCGGAAGGTTTACAGATATTATGGTGAACCTGAAGTTGAAAACAAAGTAGGAGAGAGTGGTAAGATCACGGCTGGAAAAAATCAAATAAAATTTTTACTCCGCCAACGATACAGAGCTTTGACAGGCTGAAATCTAGATGTCACGGAATAAAATCTTTCGATTTTCTGTGAGAGTCGCCTAAGACCTCCATGAATAGCAGAAAAATATGACGCGGGCAAGAACCTCTCGCTTCAATTTCTGGTCTACAGCTATTACCACAATTTATATTCAATGAAGGTACAACTAATCCAGATGCATAGAAGTGGTCTTGTTATCAGGTTATGTGCCCGAGAGTCGTGCGGACCGAAAGCCCAAGCCCGGTTAAAGGACTACAAAATATGTTATTCCTGGCTAATCCAAACAACTCCGTAAGGATAGAAAGGCAATAACTTCTCCTCTGAACTCTTTTAAACCATTACTTTGATTAACTTGACAAAATAAAAAATAAATAAAATAAGTCAATAACTTTCAAGATCCTTGGGGCAGGCAAGAACGATAACGAGGAAATCAGAAAAGCGCAAGGTTCTAGAAAACCGATGAAAAAAAAAAAACAAAGAAAAAATGGAAAAGCAAACCAACTTCGTCAATATGATAAACAGCCCCTTTCTCGAAGACCGCAGATTGTGTTGGTACTATGATACCTTTCGCAGTACCTGAAAAACCAATTCGAGTCCTTTCTTCCATCGGAACCAAAATAGGCTATGAAAGCGACATTTGGCCAACTGAACTGAACCATAACGTGAATTTGGAATAAAAAAGCTGGAAAGGGCTATTACCGATGAGATCAGATTCCTTGGTTTCCGCCATGCTGACAATTACAGGGATATTCTCACTGATCTTTGAAAAGTCTTCATTCAACTGAAATTTCAATAATGAGTATTTCAAACAAACAACGTCGCCAGATGCTGCGAAATTTGAAGCGTCCTCATTGATGTCCACAAGTTTACGTACCTTTTTATTCAAAGGATTCTCCTCTAGTAAAAAGAGAACGTCGTCAGTTGGATGAAGTATCGAATATCCCCATGCAGCTATTGGAGACCCTCGATGAGGTGTAGCTACGAACAGTATCCCAACCTGGAAAAGATACGAATTATCGAAACTCCGCAGGCAAACTACAAGCCTTACATAGAAAACCTACTGTTTTCTTTGCAAAGGCTGGGAGATCCAAAAGTAAACGCTTTGCAAGCAAGCCGCCCATGCTATGACAAATGAAAATAATCGGTCTTCGCCCAATCCCAGCAGCTTCCAACTGGGATTTGAAACGATCAGCTCGAACCTACATTGTAAAGCATCATAAGTAACAAATAGAAAAGGGAGAACTTTAGCCCAGGCGTACCTGTAAGCTTTCCATCATACCAGTGAACTGCCATAAGGATGATGGATAATCTATACCAAGAATACGCATAGGCTGAGGAATGTCGAGATGTAGCCAGTCCTGTTTTTCGTTTTATGAAAGGTAGGAGAGGTAGGAGAGAGAAAGCAAAAAAAAAAATGATACCAACCTTCGGCCAACAATCGGAGACAATATTACTGGAGTGATCCTTCTGTCGCCAAGTGTAAGCCACACTTCCACAAAGCCCATGAATCAGAACCAGATCAACCTGAATACGCATTTCCAAAGTCATCTTACCTGAAGCCTAGCGAGAAGTTGATGAACGGTACCTCTGGTTCCTTATCTGGTAGGAAAAGCTCGTAAATGTCAGACCGCAGTTGGTAGTCGACAACACCCAATGTATTTAAAGCATTTTGGCAGATCTTAACGGAAAACATCAAAAGGATAATGTAAACCGATTATTAGACAAGCATTCAAGTCCAACGCCTTGTTAGGTAAGTTTCTGACTCAAATTATGATAACATCAAGCAAAATGAAAGATACTTGTTTGGAAATGGTTCAAACTTAATCAAACAACAGCGAAATTCAACATGCTATATAAATTGTAGGTGAAAAATATGAATTTAAAATAAGGTGATGAGTCCCCACACGAGAAAACTCATGACGACCATCGAAGTGATGAGATTGGTCAAAATATCGGGCTATGGAATCTTCTTCCAGGACAGAATAGGGACTCGTAGGATAGCAAAAATGTGCAAGTGACCGTGAGACAGCTTAGCCAACCACTGAACAGGTATCTAGTCCTTACAAGCGAACTTCGTAGTAGTGAAGTAGTGGACTAGTAACACGCTCAGGCAATCAAAACTCTTCAACATACCACAACTACCGGAGTGGAGCCTCTTAACCATGCAAAGAAGAAGCACACAGTGACAGATTCGCTAACAATCCAATATTTAGACTACTGGTCAATTACTTAAGACCTTACTGCAAATATATACTGTAACTTTTGACTTGAAAACACACTATGCATAAATCAAGTAGTGGTGATAATTCAATAGGAAAATACAACGGGTAGCCCACTAGTTCCAATATACCAGCGCAATACCAAAGACAACTGTCATGACACGCTGATTCTATATAATAATAAAGAAAGCATACCTTGTGGGATAACAGCCTTTCCTCCAAAGATTTACCCCGCGTCACCATCGAAGCCAGTAAAGGAAGCCATTCTAAATAAATGTATGTTTACTTGAAAAAAAAGCGAGCAATAGCTTTGTGATAAACATACCTGACGTGAATATGGAAACTGCGTATGGTGGAGTATTGAGAGCGACGTTGGAAAGGATTTTCAGAGCTAACAGGGAAAGTTGTTTGTTGTTGTCACGAAATTGTGTAAATATGACGTATAGGAATGGAACAACCTCCACGCCGATTTCGGATGGATCGAAGGGGAACTAAACTCATTGTTTACGGTAAAGCTCAAGAAAAACAACCGATATCAACAATAGCACTCTAGAAGCAATACCTCTGTTTTCACAAATAGAAAACGCAAAAGCTGGAACAATCGCATCACTTGGCTAGGTCGTCTGGCTAGATATTCTTCAGGACATGCAAGATCTTCCTCCGGACACGCAACCCTGAGAAGTGTATGGTAGTGGAAGATCATGAAACCTTTCCTCTGATCACAAAAAACTGTAGGGTAACGCCGAGATAAGAGAAAACGCACCAACCTATTCAGCCATGCTACAGCAGAGTGCCATTCGTCACCTAGGTTGAACTAAAAGGAAAAGAACTACTCTTTGGCGGGAGAAGAGGCATGTATAAGAAACTTCACAGAATCTTCATTTTAGATTGAAATTTTGTAACTAACTTTGTAAAACCGCGGTAGGCTCAAAAGATCACCTTGGCCAACATTTTGGAGAACGTGAAATCGTCTTCATCAACTTCACATTTCGTGACAGGCACATACTTGCTCAGCTCTGAACCTCGGAGAGCCATCACACCCAAGGCAGTAGGACTCAGCGAGCCCAAATAGGAAGTGTCTGAAGGAAATAGGTTGAGAAGACTGCACAAATGGATGAAAAACCAAGTATAGTCTTTGTAGGATAAACCTGGTGTCTGGTGGAGGAATCGTAAAGCTTCCTGAGTATTCTCATTCGCATTGAGTGAATTAACGGCCTCCTCAATTGATCGAATACCGAATGCACTTGGAGATGTTGGAGAGATAAAGGACCGGTAGGCAGAGTAAATCGCTCTATAACATTTTAGAAAATCAACCAAAAACAAAAAATAATGCCATCATCTAATAAGTATACCTGACCATATCGATACAAAAAAGGAAAAATATTAATAGTAGTAGAATAACAACGGTAAGATAGTAGTACGATCGTTTTGAATATTCCAGCTGTTCAAATTTTCCAGTGGTTATATTGTAGCCAACCAAAAACTTACTTACTGGCACCAGCAAATTCATTTAAAAATGAATCTTAAGGCAATAAGTTAAGTCCAAGTTTACTCATATAGTAAAAATAGGAATAATTATAATAAAAATAATAAAACAGTAATAGGTACAATAGGTTCGTTAAACTCGAAGCTTCGCGACAGCAAGTAACAACACAGCGTTTTATGGGACTGATTGTAAAAAGTAGTTATTTGCTGTAATCTATAATTACGTTTGGAAATCTCGAGTGATTTTTGAATTGTTCGATGCTTCATGCTTTGATCTAGGTTACTTACGAAATTCTTTCTTTAGGTAGCCCCTTCGCAAAAGTAATAAACTCAAGTTCGAACCTTACTAACTACGTCAATAATTGTCTTCGAATGAATTTGCTGGTACCAAAAAGTAACTTTTTGAATGACTAACAAAGTGACATTACAAATTTGGAACAGCGTAAGTAATCACAATGATACAAGTTTCTGAAACGAAGACCGTGACATGGAAAAGTTGCGCCTCACCGGTGAAATTTCACTGGTCAGAACAATTTAATGAAGGAAGAAAACCCCCAAATAAGCGCTTAATGGATACACGAAGATTGAGAATGTCCGGAGTGGTAAAGAATAAAATAAAAAATGACAAAGAAACTTGTAAATACTAAATAAATTTTGGAAACTCACGACAGAGCCACGGATGGAATGATGTAGCGCGCCATAATGATATTAGAGTCATAAAGACACTGTTCACTGAATTCAATCGATGAGCCAGGTCATTTCACGTATTCCTCTTCAAAAAAACTAAAACTCAGTTCGAACTCAAAATTTTTCGCGATAATCGTCAAATAAAATGGGAACTGTGCAGGCTTGTGACGGACAACACATCTCAATCTACGCGCAACCGTTATATCCCCTTTTAGGCTCGAACTGGTTACTGCGGCAGCAATTCAATTTGCAAATCCGGATCGCTTAACAGAGAACGAAATGTGAAATCTGTTTGACCATGGGAAACCATCACATTGAACATTCAGCTTTTGGTTCAGACGAGTACCCTTGTGCAAGTGGTACATTCCTTGAACTTTGATGTTGATATTTCTACTTTGACTCCCTGAAGGGGATATAAACTCAATAGTTTCTCGGTTTCAATGCCAACATTGATTTTTTTTGTTTCATCATGTCACGATAACCACTGACTCTGACAGTTTGTAAATGTTGTAGAATGTTGTAGAATGATGGGTGGGAATGTAGTTGAAGGGAGGGGGCACTCCTCTCCGGTGTGGTGCAGTAGGAACGAAATTGTCGCATCGCGGCGTCAGATGTCGCGCGCGATGGAATGTAGCAGAATGCAGCAGAGCACAGAGAAGGGGGAGAAGCCGACAGTGTGGGTCTACAGAGGTTCTTAGAAACGTCTTTTAGCTAGGGTAGCAGTTTTACAACTAAGCTTCAGGAGAGCAGAAGCACCGGATTCGGTGACATCAGTAGCTCATGCAAAAAGCTGGGATAGGGGAAGCAGGAGAAGGAGGACGCCTCCCACTCACAACTACATTTCCACCTAATGTTGAATGCTGTTTATTGGTCAGTTCACGTTTTCAAGTTTCAAAGACGAACGGACGAGTTTCGTCAGCAAATCAGATTTGTGATTTCTTCAATTGCACCAGAACATTATTTCATCTGTTCGAGAATATTCTTGCAGGAAATCCAGCAAGTCAGTGTCTGAATAGAACATTGTCATGATTTTATTAATTCCTTACAGGCAATGGCTCTGTCTTATGGTAGAATAACAATCTAGATTTTACAACCACTTGTTATCATAATATATAGACATCTTCCGATGAAATTACATCCATTTATACACACATAGTGTTATTTTCAGTAAGTGACGAATAGCGAAGATTTGAAGAGGTGTCAACGTTGTACTCATCGTTTTCCTGAGACATATCGTTCTCCGGTGCTGAAAAGAAAGGTAATCCGTTTTGAGGTATATTTCCCGAAGAAACCAGACTGGGATCCTCCAAAGCAAATAGTCACTGACATTGGATAGGGATGAATTCTTTGATAGTCATAACTTAGTGAATTATCGTGGACAACAGCTCCTCAAATTGGCATTTTTCAGGACCCAATTTTCAGCCAGGTTCCCATTTGCTCTTAGGGGTGGTGCGGCAGAAAACAGTTCAAGAAAGAGGTCCGTGGTCACGAAAAGCGAGATTTTTTGTTAGATGATAAAGAACAAGGACAAAGAAGTAGGAAGAAAAAGAAGAAAGAAGAGCCCACGAGAAAGAAGTAAGGAGGAAGGAAAAAGGTTACGAGGTATGAAAAGGAAGGAGTAAGGTCTATGAAGAAGAGGGTTGGGAGAGGACTAAGACAGTCCTAATCAGGCCTTCACTGTTAGCTAACTTGTAATGAGCAGAAAGTTATGAAATTAGAAGCTTTGTCGAGTAATTTCAGACAAACTTCAAAAAAAGCTGTTACTAACCTCGGGCGTTCATTTCTTCCTTCCATTTGAGTAGCCCCGTCACCATATTCCTGTATTCTTCCTCTCCTGCTGCTAGTATTTTTTGATAAGTCTGAAGCGTTAGATAGAAATCAGATTTCAGGGAAGGCTACGATGGAGAAGGGGAAAGTCACCTCATAATCGACATGTACACCTTCCACCCACTCCTTTTTCACTATAGCTGATACTTCATCCAGATACGTATAAACCTTGGGACTTGCTTCCTCAAAACGAATCGAGGATACCTGAAACTAGTAGTGAGTTATTGCGAGCAGCAAAACATCTTGTGCTAATGAGTCCAAAGATCAAATCGATGTGAACTTTCTCGATGTAGGGGTGATATTATAATGGGATGAGCCATGCATCCATCTTCAACTCAGAATCTACAAAACATTGTATGGCCGAAGATGCACTGGAACAACGCAATTTTCAGGTTGTCGCTTTGATCCTTCTAAGAAAAAGAGGCAATTACGAAATGGACTCTGACTAGGGGCTGATTGAGTCGAACAAGATCTGATCCGGTCTGACTTGGACCATATGCTTGGTAGCGGGATTACCCACAAGTGCTTCACCATGGCCCATCTGAATATAATGAAGGGGAAAAGATGGTACATGAGGTGCTTGAGTTCTGATGGCTCTAGCCAACAGCCGTATTGCTCCTACAAAGTATTCTTCGAGAGGGTATTCAGTAAAGTTTAGAGACGGGAAGTAGCCTGGATCATCTTCATTGCTTCACTAAAGGGACACTGCACTAAATTACATACGTTGCTGCCGTTGTTTACTAATTTGTTCTTTGCTCTAGGGGCTACCAGTAAGTTGACAAAATTTCTAAAAAACTATAACTATGCACGACTCGATTACTCATCCCTTGTGCGTCACGTCCGCGAACTGAACACAAACTTGCCTGTCTTGCCTTTCTGCGTTCTTTTCTTGTTTCGGGCGTGTGTAATATAGATGAAGTGGATGGACTTTGATCATTCAAATCCTCGAATTCACAAGTGAACTAAACTGGTATTGATTAACAATGAGCTGGAAAATTTGTATTGTCATAAGAAAGCACCGTTTCATTCATTGCTTCCATAAGTGCAGGGATGTCTTCTTCCATTACGAGGCTCAACAACGAGTGACGCACAGGGTTGCCGTCACCGGCGATTGTCTAAATTAGTAAATGGTATCAAGGAATTGCAAAGTCTTTCATCGACCAATATTGGGCAGTTTCAAACCAACTTTCAGAAAACCACCGTAATTGTATTATTATTTATTTGTTATAGTTTTATTGTACGTTATTTTATTATTCGTCCCCTGATGCCGCAACGCAAAAATCCCAAAATGAAGCTCGTGTGACTTGAATAGATGATGCCCAGAACACATGAGGGAGGAACCCATCCATGCTCACAGAGCCAAAAGACATCAAATCGTCCAACTACTTGAATTTAGGTTGAAAGCTTTGAAGCAAACATATTGAAGACTTCAGAGCGAATGTTGAGCGTAGGAAAGGGAGCTGCTTGGCAATGTTGATGAATACCCAATTGAAAGTAGTCCTAGCAGCTCTATTCCAGTCGGTTTATGAAGAGAACAATAGTCGTCCTGGAGCTCCCCAAGCAAAAGGGCTGAATTCAGGCAAAAGGGCTATAGGCCTAAGACTCAAAATATGCGTCGAGCCTCATCTATTGTGAATATAGCAGAGCTCATGGCTCCTCTTATTTATCTGCAAAGCAGATGGAAATGGAGATCGGAGTTTCGAAATCCCTCTCGAATCAGAATATACCGAAACAGGTTCTATCGAAACAGGACGATCTCCCCTGGGTAACCGAGTGAGAAGGAATGCCCCGGCTAGAAACCATGACGAATAGAGATGTTAAGGATGTACACTAAAGAACTAAAGGATAGGCCGTCACGAGGGGTACTTTCCTGATAAATAAATTTGTCAGTAGAAGAGGGATAGCGAATGATTCTTTTTTCCTTCAGGACATGGACACTGCAAAAGCCAATTTAAAGAAAAAACGTACTTCATAACTCAGCTCTGCTTGATCAAGATATCCAGCTCCCGGCGTGTCACCATTGCAAACGTCATTTGAGGTGCTATCCGTATTCTGGAAAAATGTTCGAAAAATTATTCATTACCGAAGGAGAATGAACAGTATAACAAACCTTGGGAGAAGGAATCTCAACTTCAGCTGTGTGATTAGGAAGTGTTGCGCTGGTCGACGTTGATGAAATATTTTTTGAGATACTATCGTCAACGTATGGCACCTGAATTTCAAACAATTGTAATAATAAACTTCCAATAAAAAACTGAAACTGTGCCTCGTAAGGCGATTCGGAGGAATATCAAAGCCAAACAGGTCCATCCCACATCCAAGACAAGCAGATTCTCATAACCTACTGCACAAATATACCGTTGCACTTAAAAATAATATTATGAAGACGTATATATGGCAGGTGAAGTTGAATGAGGAAATGGAAATTTGTGGTGACAAAATGCGAGATAAGATCGTAGCAATCAGGTTTGACTCTGCGTCAGGAACGCCTCCCCAGGCAGCCCCACCTCCAAGCGTAGCGGTTCGCGCCATTCTAGAGGAATTGAATCATCAGCCAGTTACTTCGTCCACTCTCTAACTTTGAGCATGCTTTTACTGCGTTTCTGCCCCATGATCAGCAGTGATCACTGATCATGATCATGATCAGTGATCCCTGCTGTAAGTACAGTCCACGATTAGAGAACAGGCGGACGATTAGAGAACCCTCTCCTACGCTGCCGTTGCTCTCTTGACAAACTTCTCAGCAAGCCCGATGGATGTTTCAAAGCTCAGCTAACCTACTGTATAACCTTACTCATAAGCGTAAAAAACGCCTTCGGAGTGCCAAGTAAATTTTTGGAAAAATGGTCGGTTCAACAATCAACATACCGTTTGCTGCTCCTCCGTTTCATTTGGGCTCGCTTTTTCTCGGCTAAAGATACCAGATTTCTCTTCTATGTATTTGGCAGACAGGCTTTTTCGTGGCTCTACTGAATGAGCGGTTGACGGCCACGACGTAGTTGCAGAAGAAACTGATTGCTTCATGGATGACCGTATTGATGGCCGCGGCTTGATACTGTCGTGATTACCTGTGAGTGACACAGTCAGTTAATTTCTAGTAATGTGTTCATCTGTGAGCTACACGTCCTTTCTGCACAAATTTCTTCAAGCCTTGGCTTTCATGTGTGGCCTTTCACCTATGGTTACAGTTTTCACTCAATTCTCGGTAGTGTAAAGGATAAGGAGTATGATGCCCGGCATTCACAAGTAGTGGTTCAAGTCCCGTCAGAAGCCAAGGTTCCGCCCATTCCTTTTATGGGCGCAGAGGGTGCAGAACTGTCACCAAGCGAACCCATGAAAGGGGTGTAAAATCACGAAATCCAGTATGAGAAGAGATCTCCCATAAGTGGCGGGTTTGCATTGCTGTAGACCTGTACTACTAGAGCCTGTCCCGGGGGCTGAGCAGTGTTT